AGTGGAACTTGCTCCCGGGGATGACATAGGCCTCGGCGATCTCGGTGTAAAAGGATGACGTTGAGGTGCAAAGTTGGCATTGTTGGGAGGTGTCTGTGAACACGGAGGCGGTGTGGGCGGAAAAGGTGCCGTAGGTGGAGTCCATGGTGGGCGTGTTGGGAACGATGGAGATGTAGGTGGCGGAGGCGGTATTCCGGACGGGTTCCAGAAAGGTCGATGGGGCGCCATGGCATAGTGCATCGGGCCACGGAACGCAGGTACTGCTTGGTGCCATCCATGTTGATGACGGGGAGGTGTGCGAGAGCGATCCGGCTGGGAAGGAGGAATTCCATTCACATCCGAGTTGAACTGGGAGATCAGGTCCTGGGACGCCATGGTGTAGACGGGGCCACGAAATAATAGGTCAAATAAGCTCGAACTGCCGGTTGAAAGCTGCGGAAATTGTCAAGGTGAGACAAGAGTAATGTGCGATTGAAATGGTGTGAAACTTAATACGTAGTACCAGTATGTGAAACGTAAAGTGAAATCCGAATCTGGCGTAAGGTTCAAATATCATGAGCATGCAGCAGTTCACAAACCTTTTGAGGAAGAAGTGGCATCAATACCGAATGTCGGGAGAAGCATTGTTACTCCAAAATGATCGGGCAGGGCCACTAGGCTCACTGTATCGCTGTCGTAGAATGGTCGATACTTGTTCCGGTGCTCCTCAGAGGTAAAGAGTTCACCAACGAGATCTGGAGTGATATGTCGAGTGTCGAGAACGAGGTCGGCCTTCACGGTGCTGGTCTCGAGAGTGGCCTTCATGATAGGAGGAACGGCGATCTCGGCGGCTGTAGGTTGAATTGTCCCAAGAAGCTGTGTCGTGCCAAGATCGGCGAGCATGATCTCGAGAACCAGAAGCAGCGGTCTCGTGGTGGCCAGGTGTGTCTCGAGAGTCGTCTGGAGGTGGTTCCAAAGGTTCTGGGGCGTTGGCAGGAGGGTCAGGTCGTACTGGACGTGCATGATCATCAGGAGGTTCCGTGGGTGCATTGGTCTCCGCCGTCTGGTGTGTGATCAGGCCCGGGAAAACCGAGTGAGTGGAGGCAACATAGCATATGGATGCGGCGCTGGAGTTCATAGCCGTTGCATTGTCTTTGCCCTTGGCTATGCCCGCAAGGTTGCACAAGCGTTGAATTTGGTCATTTCCTCCAGCTAGGGCACGGATGCATTTGGGTGAGCGGCAAATGGCCAGCAGGCCTGATGGGTTTTGTCCTTTGCCAATTTTGTAGAGCTGAGAGGTACAGATCTTGACAGCATAGCCGGGTAGGTTGTCGATGTCTGCGATCTCAGAGGACATACCGAAGAACCCGTAACATGGGTATTGAGTTGGCATGCCGGCTTCGTTTTTTGTCCAAGTTGCCTGCAGTCTTCCGCGAGAATTTTGGCAACTGTTTCCCAACTCGTTTTGTGGTAGATGGGTGCCCATGTGTTCGCCACGATAGATTGGTTTCTTTTTCAATCCTGTGCTGATGGTCAGCAGGTTCTCTGGCTCGATGTAGAAGGCTTGTGTTTGCCTCGCAAGCTCGATGTCCAGTAAGTTGGATTGTGCAAAGGCCCTGGCAATGTTTTTGACGGTGGCTTGGCTTGCTTTGATATAAATACGTTGGTTGTTGACGGTGCGGTATGGTTGAGCCAACTGGTGGAACATCTCGTCAACGAATTGGTTGAAGAGCTGCAAGATGGCCGGGGTCAATGATTGGCGTAGGGGCACAACATGATCGGGCCCAAGCTCAGTCAGGCAGCGGACCCTAAGGGGGTCATTGGCCGCCTCAACCATTTCACTGAGGTCGATGTCATTCGTGTCGAACTTGGTGATCGAAATTGTATCTGCAACCTCAGAATTTTCACTGTCACCGTCAGGGACGCGGAAGGACACAGCGCCAAGTGGTGCTGAAGTATGGGCTGGTGGGTTGGTTGGTGGTTCCGGTGGTGGTGGATTGGCAGGAGAATTGGGTCGAGCATTGTGGTGATGGTAGTTGTCGGTGTAGTGGCTGTCGTTCCATGTACCCCAGGTGTCATCAGCGTCGGGAGTGGGGATGTAGTTCGGATTGAATGGGTTTGCAGCTGGTCGAAGTATGACTCCACGGCCTCTGGATCGGTGACGTGGTGTCTCGGAACGTGGTCGTGGGTGAGATCGATGACGTCGAGGAACCACGGGAGAGCGGCGTCTTGGTGGTGATCGTCGTCTGTATGGAGATGGGGTTCTGCGGTCCTTGGCATGTTTCGTGGATGACCGATAACGAGGAAGAGGAGAACGAGGTCGAGCTGCACGGTGGGGAGAATAGCGAGGGTGATGGGAACGTACAGAAGGTCGATGGGAACGTGATCTTGGAGTCCTGGATCGTGGTCGGCGTGTTGGTGATGGTGGAACATGTAGTTGGTGAGGAGGAGCGATGGTTGGAGCTTGGACAATACGAGGGTCTGGAACGTCAGGTTCGGTGGGTCTGGCTTTCGGTGCAGGTGGAGGAGTGGCGATCATTGGTGGTGCAGTTGTAGGTGGTGGTGTCTGTGGAATAGGGTTCGGTGGAGGTCCATCTTGTTGGAGAAGTAGCTGACGTTGTTCTTGGGCTCGTTGGGAATCCATGATCATTTGTTGCTGAGCTTGAATAAGTCGAACCGATTCCGCAAGTTGCTGTGCAGTGGAGCCCAATGCTACAAGTTCAGGTGACACGGATGAAGTCGGTGCTGCCGTAGGTGTTGGTGGTGTAGTAGGAGGAGGGGCTTTTGGAGCTGGTCGACGCGGTCGATCCGGTCGCTTGTCAGAGCGAAGCCTGGGAGCCGCCTTAACTGCTGGGGCCCGTGGTGAAGGTTCATCTGGAGGGACCATCGATGCGTCCGTTTGTAATGGAGGTTGAATGTGGTGAGGTGGGTATGGAGAACTGGGCAAAGGTGTTGGTGGCGTAGTCGATGTAGGTGGTGTAGTCGATGTAGGGGATGGAGCTGGAGGAGGAGGCCACGTGGGTGGAGCGGTGGGTGCCGTAGGAGATGGAAAGGTCGACGGAGCGGTGTGCACCATAGTGGTTTCAGGGGCCAAAGGCGAGGGCATGGTGGGTACGAGCTGTGGGCCTGGTATTGCATGAGGAGCCGGAGTCAATGAGGTGAACGGCAACGATGTTGGGGCTGATGTAGACGGCATGAGCGAAGCTGAGGAAGACCATGTAGGATGCAATGCCGAGGGATGTCCAAATAGATGTGCGTTCTGCGATGATTGCTGCCACGTCGAAGATGGGTTCGCAGGCTGCGGTGGAGCAGGCCATGACGTCGGAGGAGTGGTCCACGGATACATCGCTCACGAAGAATAATGAAAAATAATGAAATTGCAACGACAGGATTCAGTTCCTAGACCTACTGTTCGTGCGATTGTGCCACAACAGGCCCGTGGTCAAGTCGTGCCCCAATGGCATCAAACGGCTATCAAATTCCATCGAATTGGATGCACAACATGTTTCACCTCACCAGAAACCAAAAAGACCACACCTGCAGGAAAAGGACATGCCTGTTGCCTGTTGTCTCACATGTCATGTTGAACTTCAAAAGCTCGAGCTGCAGTAGTAAAAATGAGGTTTCTGGTAGTTCGAAGTGGCTTCACTCAATAGAGATGCATTCCACTGGGTTCATAAAGGACAGCCGGAAACGCGGGACTTCACAAAAAGGTGCAAAACGGAAAGGCCAACTGTTGCGATTTACTTAGATGAATTACTAAATTAAAATGCGTAAATTCGACAGTCCGGACAGTCATCACTCACCCTTAAAAGGGTTGCCTCAATTGGCTCCATGGCACCATGTCGGAGCCACCATGGAAATCACACTAGACAAGAATGGATCATTATATGATCCGGCAGGAACTGAATCCTGAAACATGCAAACCAGCCTAGATCGTTAGATTAATAAAGGAGCCATATGAGGTACTTCTCGAAAACGATGTAGGGCATCCAATATTGTCCAACGTAGTTAAAACCAGAGTCCAAAGTGTTTTGACCAGCATGTTGAAAATCCAGAATAATGTTTCGGCGATTGTTTCCCAAAAAACCCAAAGTTCGTCGGCGACATGATCTCGGCGAAAATATGTCAAAAAATCATAATACTGTCGGCGATATGGTTTCGGCGAAAATCTGAGGAAGGTTCTGATGCATGCAATACAGATTGTGACAACCGTGTAGATTCGAAACAACGCAGTGTAACAGCTTGATCAACAGTTGAAACCAAATTTTGCAGGTACACAGAGTTGATCAGACTCTGCTTCCAGCACAAGTGGATAGCTTCGTTGGGTGCAGTCTCCACTGTGCTCTGCACCCCCCTGCAAATGTGAAAGGATTCCCTGCAAATGTGAACAGGTTTGAATCAAAGAAGTTTTACATCTGTTCAGATGTTACACACACACACACAAACACAGACAGACGGACAGACGGACATACTTACTTACATTACAGTACATTCCATTACATTACAGCACATTACATTACATCACATTACATTACTCATTACACTACACTAACTACGCCACATTACATAACATACATATATACACAACCATCTGATTTCGCCATACACCAGTCGCAGACCATCCCTTTCCATGATGGTCTGCGCCGGCACATACACACATACACACATACAGACATACATGCAACTCTCTCACACGCACGTCTTTCATACGTACCTTTCACCATCTCATGTCTCTTTCCTGCCTTTCCCATTCCGTCTTCACCTTGCTTTTGTGACTTATGGGAAGAAGTTGACATGTGGGGTTGTCCGGTCATTTATTTTTGTTTTACAAGCACCATTGAAGCACTAAGCATGACAGAGACTCTCATCTCTAAAACTCTAAAAATCAACTTTGCTAACCATGTATTTCTCAAACTTGCATGGTTCACACAAATATTTTTCACACCCACTGACATGCATTTTTTCATATGTGACTTTGCTAGGGGCCGGATTTCTACCACCAATTCCTTCCCGCCCAGGACTCCGCCTGCCACGCCTGTCCCTGCGACACCTGCGACACCTGCGACACCTGCGACACCTGCGACACCTGGAAGCGCCAAGAGCTTTCTGTCAGACTCTGAGGTGCCTCCCATGGGAAACCCCCCTTTTTGCTTCAGGGAAATATTTTGTACAACAACCCAGGAAAAGTGTGAAAGCCGGGATCTAAACACCATGTTCAAAACAAAAAGTGTTCTGTTCAGTTCCTTCAAACAAGCCTGGCAGGAGACTGACTGAGCGCCCAAGGCCATGCAGTCGTGTTAGAGCTGAGGGGGTCCAAACAATTCCAAACATTTTTTTCGGCGAAATCTATATATCTATCTCTCGCCTCATCAGACATCAGAAAATGTGTGTTAAATGAAATACATGTATTTTGCCTCATCAGAATACGTTAAGGTTATTTTTGCTTATTGTTGAGGGTTGTTTTGTTGATTTTGTTGGTGAAAGGCAGCTTAGTACCATGACTTTTCGATCCCCTAGAGATGAGGAGAAATTGAGAAGCCGGGCCCGAAGGGCTCTGGGGCGGGCCCGTATCTACATCTGGAGCCAAAACGAAAAACTATGGAAGCATCCCGAAAACCTCAAAAATTGATGAGTTCGCATCATTTCGATCCACATATTCTAAATCTTCAGGGCCCAAGTAGAGAACAAGCTGTTGATCAGCAATAATACCCAAGACCAGGCGGCAAAACCCCCTGTTTAACGCATCGGCCATTTCCTCAAAGAGGACATCATGGCGGCTCAAAAAGGAAAGGGCGCTGGGTGAAACGTCGGCCTTGGATTATCACGGATGGATGCAATGGAAACTCACTATGACAAAACAAATATAGATAGATATAAATAAATATATATATGCATATATGCATTTATGCATATATGCATATATGATTATGCATATATATTTATATACATACATATATACATATATACATATATACATATATACATATATACATATATATATATACGTATATACATATATATACATATATACACATATATACATATATACACATATATACATATATACATATATACATATATACATATATACATATATACATATATACATATATACATGAAAATGATGATACTGCAGTTTGAATCTGGTGTGTGTGATCGTCATTGTCATCGTCTTCGTCACCACCACCACCACCACCACCACCATCACCATCACCATCACCATCACCATCATCATCATCATCATCATCATCATCGGTATCATCATCATAAGTATCAGGGGCTGGCAAGCCTGAAGATGTTTGAACCATCGTGAGATGGCCAAAGACGGTTTTCCGTGCGATGGGCCAGCTACCCTGAGTTATCCACAGTCAGCAAGCACTGAACATTCGGATGGTTACAGCGACAAACATTTGTGAAGATCTCTTCCTGTATGCATTGTAGCATTAACTACTGCCCATGTTTGCTGATATGGGCGATGATTTCTTTTCTGGATTACATCCCCATTATTTTTTACGTGTGACGCATTCTGCTTAATCTGGATAATATTCTAGATCCGTAATATTCCAACTATGGTAGAAATAGTATATTCCAGAATTATGGTTCTGGATATCTATCTAAAACATCACTTTTATTCATTCCCCATTTGCTGATGCTTTCCAAACCCCCAAAACATTGCCAGCTCCAAGGAAGGAGGTGGAATGCAAGGAGCTGGGTGAAAGGGCCGAAAATTGGAGGGATTAACCAGAGGAAAAGTGGATATATCCCACATAGAAGAAGTGAATTGTTTATTTTCGAGGAGACATCGCCAATCCAATGGATTTTGATGAACCCTGCGAGAAAACTCAATGGTTTGGACCATCCATTCCCAACGAGAAAGTTACTGGTGAATTAGATGGAAATTGGATAATTTGGGACATTGCAACATGGGCTAGCCAACGGGTGAAGAGTAGCTTAGTTGTTTTTTCGACGTGCATGGAGAAATATATAAAATTGAGAATTGTTCCATCATTTTGGGAGAAGAAACCGCATTTAATAGGATTAAACCTTCAATTGTAAAGGTGGCGCCCAATATGTGGATTTGATAAATTATGGTTTTGTTAGCAAAAAACATGGTTGACTGATTTTTACCACAAGTTAATCATAGAACTGCGACATAAAACATCATTGACTGTGAAATCTTCGCAAAAACTTACCCAACTCCATCATTTAGGAGGAAGATGTGGCACCGGCGGACCGCGAGATCCTTCCTGGTGAAGGTTGCTGGCCTTGTACCTGGGGTGTTGGGAGCAACCCTATCGCATGGGATTTTTCGACGCATTTCCATGTCGGTCACTATCAAATGCATAACGTTTGATGGTGAAATTAATCAAAAAGATCATTTCGATGACCGGAACTACGTATTCATATTTATTAAACGGTTCATTTGATAAGAAACTGATCATTGTAGGAATGAACTTATGAAAGTTGATGATTTACAGGGCAATTTTCCAGCCAGATTGGCGTCATAGGAAACAGAAACATCCCATTGCGAACATAGTATACCCAATGGTAAAACCTGTATTGGTGGTGGTCTATTATTGGGTTTACCATGTTAGAAATGTACGTTCCTGCAGATTGCTCATGTTTGTTGCCTATCCATCAAATCAACTTTGCTTGGGTGCATCACTGTGAGGTTGGCTAGAACTTCCCTATGTTTAGTGTCCAAAGCCATTGAATTGGTTTTCTTGCTTCTATCTTCATTTGGGTGTTTCTCAAAATCGGGGTGCCCCTTTTTTTCAATGAGAAACCCCAATAAAAAGGACCAATTACGGGATGATACCTGGGACTTCCCCATTTCGGGAAACCCAAAAAATCACATGTCATACATCATGGTAATATAGCAGACGACTATACGCATCAAGAGAGGTCACGAACCCCATCCCCCTATATATTAAGTACCCCCATTCTATGGTTCCAAAGATGTAGTTTCATCCCCTACTAGACATGACTAAACCATGGTTTATGTGGGGTGTTTAGTATGAACGCGGGAAGGGGTTGCAGTGAAAGCTTATCTACATGAATTGCACCCCACTAAGTCCCATGAAGTCTGAATACAAATCCCATTAGTTCATCCCATGAATACAAATCCCCATTCAAAATCCCATTGAATCCCGTAGAGAACTCCCATGAAAAATCCCATAGAAACATTCAAAATCCCCTAGAAATCCCAGTAAGTCCCGTTATCGTCCCAAGAATCGCCCCTGAAATCCCCAAAAAAAAACCGCCAGGCAGCGTCGCCACGCGTCTGCCGCGCGTGCGCGCCGCGGGGAGGCGGAGGGACGATGCCACCCACGAGGTCGTGGCGGGTCCCGGGTCCGATGCTGATTTCATGGGGAAATCTGTTGGTACCCTCTGGTCAACATACCAAAAACTATGGAAAGATCCACCATTTTATAGCTGGGTAAATCCACTATTTCAATGACCATTTTCAAGTTCGCAAACTGTAAACGTTTACCAGAGGGTAAACCCGGTGGAATTTAGGGATAGTAGGGTTAGCCCATTTTCAGACCCCTTTTTTTTGATGGGAAGGTGTTGAGATGGAAATGTTGATGGGAAAAATCTATTGGATATAACGGGCTAAGGTGTTAATATGAAGATATTTAGTTGCTGGTAATGGGATTTCGATGGAAAGTCGATGGGATTCTAATGGGATTTGGTCAGGTATGTATTGAACTATAGTTGGTTAACTATAGTTGGTTCAAAGATAGCTACAGTATTAACTAGTTTGTATTAACTATAGTTGGTTCATAGTGAAATATTAGTTGTTTTCCGCTATTCCCACGGGAAAAAAACCATGGGATCTTTAGAGGGAAACTATGGAGATTCTCTGTTGGATTGGTGTCTACTGAAGCTCGACATATCTGCAGCAACTTGACTATGATAACTATGGGGCCACTACCAGGTAGAATGGTTTTCAGGGCCATTTTCATAAAGGGATCTACTAACTATGATACTTGACTATGTTTTTTTTGGGGATTTCTATGGGGCTTTCTGAATGGGGATTTCTAATGGTTTTCAGGGCCATGTTCATTGCGGAAACTGGTGGAATTTCCAGCAAGCCATGTTTCATTACCAGGGGATAAACCAAACAATTCTCCCAATTTTACCATTTATGGATGTTTGATATGTTTCACCATACTCAATGCTATCTGTTTGACAGATTGTTGATATGGAGGTTTCCTAAAATGGGGGGTACCCCCAAATCATCCATTTAAATTGGATATCCCATTATAAACCATCCATTTTGTGCTACCTTCATTCCCCACCTGCCAGGTGAGGGTTGTTAGATTTTATGTCAGTTGCCTCCTCGTCCTCCTTCTCCTCCTCCTCCTTCTCCTCCTCCTCCTCCGCCTCGTCCTGCCTCGTCCTCCTCTCCTCCTCCTCCTCGTCCTCCTCGTCGTCCTCGTCGTCCTCGTCGTCCTTGCTCAACTGCGACCCGCGATCCACAGTGTTCTCTGCCGGACCTCAACCACGAACCATCCACGCCCAGTGTTCCCTGCCGGACCTCAACCACGACCATCCACGCCCAGTGTTCCCTGCCGGACCTCAACCACGACCATCCGCGCCCAGTGTTCCCTGCCGGACCTCAACCGCGACCATCCGCGCCCAGTGTTCCCTGCCGGACCTCAACTGCGACCATCCGCGCCCAGTGTTCCCTGCCGGACCTCAACCGCGACCATCCGCGCCCAGTGTTCCCTGCCGGACCTCAACCGCTCTTCTGACATATCTTCTGACATTTTATTTGGCATTCTATCTGGCATATCTTCTGGCATATCTTCTGGCATTCTATCTGGCATTCTATCTGGCATATCTTCTGGCATATTATCTGGCATTCTATCTGACATATCTTCTGGCATATATTCTGACATATCTTCTGGCATATCTTCTGGCATATCTTCTGGCATATCTTCTGACATATCTATCTGGCATATCTTCTGGCATATTTCTGGCATTCTATCTGGCAACTCTTCTGGCATTCTATTCTGGCATTCTATCTGACATATCTTCTGGCATTCTATCTCTGGCATTCTATCTGGCATATCTTCTGGCATTCTATCTTCTGGCATTATATCTGGCATATCTTCTGGCATTCTATCTGGCATATCTTCTGGCATTCTATCTGGCATTCTATCTGGCATTCTATCTGGCATTCTATCTGGCATATCTTCTGGCATTCTATCTGGCATATCTTCTGACATTCTATTTGGCATTCTATTTGGCATATCGTCTGGCATATGATCTGGCATATCTTCTGGCATTCAATCTGGCATTCTATCTGGCATATCTTCTGGCATATCTTCTGGCACTCTATCTGACATATCTTCTGGCATTCTATCTGGCATATCGTCTGGCATATATTCTGACATATCTTCTGGCATTGGCAAATCTTTCCCTGCCGGACCTCATGTAGGAAGATATGGGCCACTATTGAGTTTGCGGGTGGCAAAGTTTGAAGCAATCAGTTTGAACAGATGACAGAGTCACTGGGGTGGACAGAGACATTTCCATTTCTGTACCTTTGGAGCTGTTTGCAAAGACGCTTGAGACAGGCAACATCTTACAGCAAGTTACTACAAATTACTTGATGGGATCTCATGCTGGATTGATGCTTGAGACAGTCAACATCACACAGAGTTTCTATTGTGTATCACAGCTATGGTAGCATGGTGGATATGTGACATCGGAACATTCGCTGGAGCATTTGCGCCCTCATCTACTCGATCGCGGGCCAGAGGCAGGATGGACATCATCATAGAAGCATTCAGCAGGAGGAGGTTATGTGATCAGTAGTGTCTTCTTGCGTGTTTTTCCCCACCTGCCAGGTGAGGGTTGTTAGATTTTATGTCAGTTGCCTCCTCCTCCTCCTCCTTCTCCTCCTTCTCCTCCTCCTCCTCCTCCGCCTCCTCCTGCCTCGTCCTCCTCTCCTCCTCCTCCTCGTCCTCCTCGTCGTCCTCGTCGTCCTCGTCGTCCTTGCTCAACTGCGGCCCGCGATCCACAGTGTTCTCTGCCGGACCTCAACCACGACCATCCACGCCCAGTGTTCCCTGCCGGACCTCAACCACGACCATCCACGCCCAGTGTTCCCTGCCGGCCCTCAACCACGACCATCCCCGCCCAGTGTTCCCTGCCGGACCTCAACCACGACCATCCACGCCCAGTGTTCCCTGCCGGACCTCAACCGCGAGTATCCACGCCAAGTGTTCCCTGCCGGACCTCATGTAGGAAGATAAAATGTCAGATAGAGTGCCAGAAGATTTGCCAGGTAGAATGCCAGAAAATATGCCAGAAAATATGCCAGAAGATATGCCAGATAGATATGCCAGAAGATATGTCAGAATATATGCCAGATAGAATGCCAGATAGAATGCCAGATAGAATGCCAGAAGATATGCCAGAACATATGCCAGAAGATATGCCAGATAGAATCCCAGAAGATTTGCCAGATAATATGCCAGAAGATATGCCAGAAGATATTCCAGATAGAATGCCAGAAGATATGCCAGAAGATATGCCAGAAGATATACCAGAAGATATACCAGAAGATATGCCAGATAGAATGCCAGAAGATATGTCAGAATATATGCCAGAAGATATGTCAGAATATATGCCAGAAGATATGTCAGATAGAATGCCAGAAGATATGTCAGAATATATGCCAGAAGATATGCCAGATAGAATGCCAGATTGAATGCCAGAAGATATGTCAGATAGAATGCCAGAAGATATGCCAGATAGAATGCCAGAAGATATGTCAGATAGAATGCCAAATAGAATGTCAGAAGATATGTCAGATAGAATGCCAGAAGATATGCCAGAAGATATGCCAGATAGAATGCCCAAATAGAATGTCAGAAGATATGTCAGATAGAATGCCAGAAGATATGCCAGAAGATATGCCAGATAGAATGCCAAACAGAATGTCAGAAGATATGTCAGATAGAATGCCAGAAGATGTGCCAGTAAGAACATGTATAAATGTTATGGTGGGGATCACACGAAGTAAAGTAATTTTTTAGAAACCCCCATATCTTGTTTTTGGAGATGATTTCATCTCCAATTCCAAACCCTGGGGTTTTTTATGTGCCATGGCCAATTTATTTTGGAGTATACCAATCCATTAACCACCATTAATCACCATTGACCACCATTATTGGGGGATGGCCATGAATCCATTCCTACCTGGATTCCCATGGGAGGCAATCCTACAAAGCGCCGCGATGGCGCAGGCGGGAAGAAACTACGGCGCAGGGCAAGGTAGTTGTAGGAAAATATGGCTATGATATGGCTATTTATATCGCTGCATCCATGTATGTATATATATATATATTGTATTTATTTGTTGATTTATTTATTTATTTATTGTTTATTTATTTATTTATTTATTTTATTTTGTTGGTTGTTTATTTATTTAGTTATTTATTTATTTATGTTTGTGTGTTTATATTTATATGCAATTATATATATATATATAATAGTTGTTCTTCTTATGGTTATAATTGTCCACAACATATATATATATAGTGATAGATACCCACTATACTCACATCATGGTAAATATAACATCATAATATGGTTATGGATACTTTAATCCACAACAACTATCATTGTAGTATAGTAATATAGAATTAGTTTTAATGATTCACATCGTTAGTATAATGTTGTAGTTATGGTTTTAAGTATCCTTGTCATATATGATATAGGATCCACATCAAGACTATAATGTTCGAATGTTGCAGCAATGGATATGGGTTTTGGGTACTGCAACTCCCCAAGGTATTATTGTCTATGGATATGGAAATATAGTTACGGATACATGTTTCAAATATACATATATACACGTTTTGATGGATAATATAGTTATAATATGGTTAGTGTTGCTAATACTGATGGGCATTTTTTAATATACTGTACATAATAGCCGCGGATAATGTTGATATAATATCGTGATATGCTTAATGTTGGTTCACCTGTTCTTTCCGGATCATCATGGATAGATAAGTCCATACCTGAGACAGTGCTGCTCAAAACCCCTGTTGGTAATATTAACATCATTCAGAGGATTCTAGCCATCAAGGATCAAGATAGACTTGGGCTAAAGTTGATCAATCATGGTTGGTGGATGATTATATGGGCCATATGGGCTTAAAAACTACCCTTCGCTTTCTTCGGCGATAATCGTAATCCATGAAATGGGAATCCCGTTCTTGACCAACCAGTCATTGACAGAGGGCTGTCCTCATCAAGATTAAAAACTCCCAGTCTAGTTATATCCTCATGATATCTCCATTATGTCCCAATAATTGGATAAAAAAAAATCCAAGGCAATATGAAACCTCCCATGAAGTGCCCCCGATATAACATGATATCATTAATCCCCATGATATCCCCATTATAACCGAATATAAAAATGTATCTATTTGGATTTTAGAAAAAAGAAATGATATCCCTCACTGAAATATCCAGTGTATATACATTCATATGAATATTTGAATACATGAATACATGTGTATATATATATATACAATATATATATATATATGTATACATATCTGTCTATCTAATCTAATCTAACCTGTTCTATCCTGTTCTACTCCATTCCATTCGATTCTATTCTATAGATCTATCTATCCCCATGATATCCTCACGAGGTCGAGGAACCTGAGCCGGAAGTGGCGCTGGAATCCGCCTCGCAGGAGCGATGGGGATGGGCATGGGATTCTTATAGGGCAACAATGGGTGTTTAATGGGAATATCATGGATATAAAGCCATCTAATATTCCAACACTGGGATATAATGGGTGTATAGTGGGTATATGATGGGATTATCATAGGAATCTGATGGGAATAATTGTGATATAATGGGAATATGGTGGGAATGAACCTATTGACGCAACATGTTATTGGAATATGAATAGGGATATAGTGGGACAATAACGGGACATTCCCCTCCGGTGTCAACGTGGCTGAGAAATCCTCAACGAAATGGCGCGATGCAATGGGTAGCAAATTGCCCAAAAAAAACCGTCCGTCAATTAAGGGATAGCGAGTGCCCTGAGTGCCCACATCATCCACTATAATTTTAAATGATCCCAAGTTCAAATCCAAATTGAATTTTGGTATCATCATCTACATTGGATACCCATAAATGGACCAAGTGATCAGCTCGCTGTACCACGCAGGAGGAGAAATCCAAAGCTCGGCTCGGGGCCTCAGCGGCGAATCTGCCGGAATTTGGGGATCTCAATTTTTTCCGCTGATGATGTGATCATAGCTGGTTAATAGTGATGGTTAATAGATGTTAATAGGCTATAAACCAACAACAATGGGAATATGATGGTGATCTGGTTGGTGGTGACTGGAACATGAATGGATGATGACTTTCCATTCAGTTGGGAATGTCATAACCCCAACTGACGAACTCATATTTTTCAGAGGGGTAGGTATACCACCAACCAGAGATGTTCATTTGTACTAAAATTTACTCCTCTAAAATTGGTTCTTTGAACTAGTGATGTGAATTCTTCAATTTTTGTTGATTGGTGTTCCGTAGTTGGAACGATACTTGACTTGGCGACTGTAGATCCAGGATCAACCTCACTGGGCAAATGAAATAGGGCCTCAGGTTGCGACCTCACTGTTTGGTGATGGTTTATAAGGGAAATTGTCCCACAATAGCCGAACTATTCAGCTTAGAAAATGATAATTCATGCAAAATAATACTGTAATCACTTGTATTTTTTTCATCATTGTCCCTCTCCCACCTTTTTTGGACAAAGTCATATCACATTGTTAGTTATATATTCCGTTATATCCAATCGTGAAGATCGATATCGATTGATAGGCTGATGGACATATAGATGGCTAGGATCGATAGATATATTTTCTAACCCCAATGATGTTGATTGATTATCCTAATCCCAATCATGTATAGATATATGTTCTAGAAAGATTTAATGAATCTATCGTTATTTTCCTTATTTGGTTGGTGGTTTGGAACATTTGTTATTTTTCCATATATTGGGAATGTCATCATCCCAACTGACTAATAGTGACTTTCATTTTTTTTTAGAGGAGCAGGTATACCACCAACCAGCAGTCAGATTAATGGAATATGATAATCTATAGAATATCTATGAATATCTACCACAACTGGGCAACCCATATCCCTATCATATTCTGAATGATATCCTTTTTAAAAAATGTAACGATAGATATTCCCGCAGGCTCCAGAGACGGCAAGCCATCGAGAATAACCTGGAAGTGAGTGAGAAGGCGCTGATCAAAGGATGTCATTGGGATATCATATGGATATTATGTTGGTTAATTTTCTATATATATATATGTACACATAGGTAAACATAGATATATATATATACAAACATAGATGTAGAAATGCATATATATATATGTGCTAATTGCAATATATGTTTTTTGGAATTTACTCTCTGGTAATCAAACGTGGCTGTGAAATCTCCTGTAAAGGGAGATTTTTTTCGCGTATAGCTGGGAAAATCAACGATCAATGGTGGATTGTCCATTGTAATGGTTGATCGGAGGGTAATTGATATAATGGCTATGTGATTGGGATATAATTTGGATATCATGTGAATCACACACAGTACACCAAAATGTGGGGCGCATACAATCCACAATAGACGTTCGACAACAATGGGGGGTTTACCTTCAGGTATTGGGTGAGTTAAATCTCATCACTTGCCGCATTTTTAAGGGAGAAACATGAGGCCTCCATCCAACTTGGAATAGCTTGGACTATTGGTGGTAAATCATGGTAAATGGATGTATCCCAAAAAAAAAGTTATCCCCAAATCCTCTGGTTGATCGTCATCTTCCCAATGAAATCATGTCACCATGTCTCCGATACCAAGATCCCCATGATATCCCCATTGAGTCCCTTTTATACAAAAAAAACATCCTAGTCAGTCGTTAAAATCCCCATTTCATCCATAAATACATACTTATACAGTGTATTACATATATCCCCATATATGGATAGTGTTGGATAGTGTATATGTATATATCCCCACTTCATCCATCTATGACATACATTACTCCATCATATCCCCACTATATCCCCCACTATATACCGCTACAACGGGCAACCCACGAGGCCCTGGAATGTATCGCAGTGTGCACGGGCGCGCAGCCACGTGCACTGCCCGGGCACCAATGGCGAGCCAACCAGGGAAATCCAGGAATATATGGGAGTTTGAATGGGAAGAACATGGGAAAATATGGAAGAACATGGGAACTATATATCCCCCACTATCGCCACTAGATCCCCCAATATATCCCCCACTATATGGAAGAACATGGGAAATTTTGAGGAAAATTACTTGGAAAAGCATGGAAAATAAGGAAAATTCATCGGAAAATATGGGAAAATAAGCGAAACGTATGAGAAAAAACCACTGTAAGTGAAGGTTAGCTGAGAAGATCATCGCACTAAATGGCGGATTTTGCAGCACCATGTTTGATGATACTGGATGGTAAGTATTACAACAAATAGCGGTTGATATTGTTGCAAAGAATGTTTTTAATATTGATTAACTATTGGCAGTTGAAAATGTTAAATATTTAGTTATTTCTTAATATTAATATTTAATATTGATACGTATCATTGACAAAAAGCTACTAATGATTAACTATTGGCAGTTGAGTTGCCGATGAACTAATATGTGTAGCCTAGTTTCAGACAAAACCAAAAAAACATAAGCTAGTTGACTGTGAGGTAATCTAAGTAAGATTGTGTGCAAGCATTGTTGTTTGCACAGCACAACCAAAGTCGTCTTATCCATCGATATTTGAAGCAACACTTAGATAATCGGTCAACCATTTACGGTGGCTACGGGCAAACGGGCAAACTACAGGACAAAATAGGCGTAAGATGATCCCAATTTTGGGTTCATATCCGTGCATGATGGTTTTACACCTATGATATCTGTGTAAACCTTGGTTGAGTACTTTAGTGGATTAAAAACATGCTTCATTTGCTTGTGCTTTTTGGGTGGATTGATGTTGAATGCCAAGTTAGTCCATTTGTTTATAGCACCGCTCCCAGGGAGCCGCGGCACGGCTTTGCCATCTGATTGCCATCGGTGGGATGTGGCCCGGTGAAAAAAGAGGGAATCCAATGGCTTTCATGGAAAACTCCATGGATTGAACCAAGAAAAATGCTGCGATTTTTTGGGGATATTATGTGATATAATTTGTATATATAATGGGTATTAATACCAATAAATGGGTATATATGATACAATGGCCATTGTAAATGGGTATATATGATATTAATCTAGCCAGATACATGTATATACTGTATGGGTATATTTTTGCAATGCTGATCTGATTGGTGCCCTTTTTATTCGTGAGGATGATCCAAAAAAAATGACGGTTTTTTTCAGGTTTTTGCAGATGGCTTGGAACCACCCAGAAGGAGATTTTCTAGGATACAACCAGCATGGGGTGTCGTAGCCTGCAAACATGGAAGGGGGAACATCCCGATGAAAAACCCTGCAATTTGGCCATCAATTCAACCTACAAAAAAGGAAGAATCCGATGTTTTTTTCCATTGCCGAGTTCGATCGCCACTCTGATAAATATGGACAATCAAAATAGATGATGATTGGATCCCTTCACATTTTCTATTGGTGATTTTCATGTTGTATCCACGTCCCCCTGAAAAACTGGACCCTGGAGAAGCTATTGTTGCAGGTAGGAGACAGTCGTAGATGCACTCGAAATGGCTAACAGAAGTGCAAAAAAGCACTGATCTTACATGTTGTTTTTTTTGATAATGGTTTGTGTCCCAGAAATGTCGTATTGATGAAAGTGATTCATCTCTGGTGTCATCAGGCTCTCGATATTTTCCAGATGAGGTGCCATCTCGATGATTAGTTGCGGTAGGCAACTGTTCTTGGCAATGAAAAGGGACCACGCAGAACGACCAAACCATCCAAATTCGATCATGAAATCATTGGGCCTCTTTCCCGAATCTATGATATTAAAGCTAAATTAATCTTTTTGATGGGGAAAATGATACAAAAACAATCACCATATCACCATACATCACCATACCGCCATTTTCAAACAACTCAAACAGCTGCCTTCCGAATTCATCGCTGTTCAAAGTCTCACAGCGACGCGGCGGTTTTCCGCGGACGGTTTCACCTGCGAAAAAGAGAGCTCTTTCGCTGAACTTGGCTGTGATTTTGTGATTTGCTAGTTTCATGTTTGGTTTTTTGAAGATCCTGTTCTGTTTCTTTTCGATTTGCTTTTTGGGGCCATCTGAACATCTGATGAAAGACGATGAAAGGCCCTTTAATCCAAGTTTTCCCAATTCTCGCACGTTCGCAGCTTTGGCTATGAGAAATGATCAATGTTGGTGTGTTGGTCAGCATGGTAAAAAGCAAAAGCAGTATCATTGATACAGTAAGTGTTATAGTAAGTGTATTTGATATAATGAAACTGGAATGGATATAATAACATGATATAACTGTATAGTAAACCAAAACTATACTCAACTCCACTCAGTGACATGGAGTATAGTAGAAGACCAGGAAATGTTGGTTACTATCATCATGATAGTAGACCAGCTCACACCGATTATAATTACTAGTTACTACTCATTATCATCATGACCAATATTCGAAAAAAAACGTCGAAGACATGTCAAGACCAAAACCAACAATAAATTATCATTGTTACTACTGCATCATCACTATTATCATTACTATTCCTCCAACTGCAAAGACAGCAGGGGGCCGCTGTCAGAGACCATGGCCACGACTTTGCCCTTGCAGGGTCGTGAGGCAACCGACTCAACATGGTGGGATATTGGGTGGCACAGAATCTACAACCCACAAAAAATCGAGGAAAAACACATTCTTGGTCTGGAAATACTACCGTAACCCCCATATATCACGCAGTTTCTACAGTTTTACTTCCCTTTGACATGGTCAGTGCACCCAAGGTCTTGCTAGTGGTCTTGACGGTCGTAACACTCTGGTGCAGCGCCTTGCTGTATCTCCACGTGAACGTAGCCGTGGAGCCCAAGGTCGACGTTTTCCATCTGGGGTTGTCCTGAAACATGAGACGTTTACCCACTATGGCCATGTGTTTCAGGCAGGAGGAGGAGGATTATTATTGTTGTTGTTATTATTATTATTATTACGTGATCAAAATAACAACATCATACTATAAAATAGTGATTATGATTATCACCATCATCATTGTTATTATTCTTATTGTTATTAATTACTAGTATCATCATCATTATTATAAATGTGATGATGATGATGATGATGATGCTGATGATGATGATGATGATGATGATGTTGATGATGATTCACCAGTGAATTTAGGCTTCCCCAATGGGGATTGTCCAAGAATGTTGGTTGCCGATGGCCAGCGTCTCAATTTCTTAATGTCCATTTGCATATGACATATATATATATATTCCACAAAACATATATGCGGCAACAAAAACCATCTCATTATACAAGGAATTCTTATACAGTGCTTGGACTGTATCCTATGTTAATCCTATCAGACGAAACCATCCCGTGTTGCGATTGTGATCCCAAGAAATGGGGTCATCATGGTCATCATGGTCATTTCTTGGGCCAGACATACCAGTTCCCTCTGGTAATTTCTTACATCCCAGTCGAAATAGTTGATTTACGCAGCTAGAAAATGGTGATTAAAAATTGTGATTTTCCTCTGAAAAATGGTGATTTACCCAGAAAATGCTGGATGTTCCATGATGTTCCAGTTCGTTTTTTGTTGACCAGGCCGGGTAAACATTGAAAAAGTCACCCCATCTCTGGTACAGATCCAAGTCCTGGAGCTGGGATTTGTGGATCATCCCAGATAAGAAATCATAGAAGATCATAGATCTTAAATCATTTCATACCAGTTCTTAATTTTTCCATATCATAAATATCATAGAATATCATAGAATATCATAGATCTTAAACCAGTTCATACTTCCATATTTGAAAAATGTTGAAAAGCACTGTCCTTTGGAGCGCAACACTGAGGCCGATAAGACTCTGAACGGCTTCTGGGGTACTTTGCCATCGGTGTGGGTACCTGGCACCACTGCAGTGGCGCGGGATCTAAGGTTACTCTTAAACAGTTCTGTTTTGGTAATATATATATATATAACATATATATATAACATATATAGTTCTTAGATATAACATGTAAATACATATCATGTTTGGCATGAGATGTTGAGAATATGCATGGATGTAGGAATAAGAACAGTAATGATGAAGATCCTGATGAGAATCGTCAGAATAATTCTGTGAGGATCTGTCAGAAACAGTAGTTCAAAATGATGATAATAAGACGAAGAAGAAGATGGATATTATTATATTATATCATCACAATACACTAATAAATATGATGAATTTAATGATAATAAGATTGATATGAACAACAATGATAATGATATTTCAGGATCTCATTGTTGTTCATATTAATCTCAATCAAATATAATGATTAAGATATCTTCATCATCCAAAAATCCATTCTCGCTTCGGGAAGATCATCCGAGGCTTGGGACCATCCGGAGCCCAACTATTTGGTGAGTCACGGCATCGGCGAGTTTTGGAGCGTCCGGCATCCCATGGAGGTTTTGCCATCAAAGGGGGAGTGGAATTTAGCGGAAAATGGTGGATTTACCCATGGAAAATGGTGGATTTTCCCATTAAAAATAGTGTTTTCCCATGAAAAATAGTGATTTACCCCATGGAAAATGGTGGATTTACTGATAGCAAAATGTGAATTGACCAGAGGCTAAGGGATGATATTCAAGGGATTTTCAGCATCGAAAATTGACCAACAGGGTGAAGATCAGACCGAAAGATCTCACTGAAACACTCTGATTAAAAATGGCGATTTATCCAATAAAACTACGGAACATCCCCATGTTCAGTGGGAGAAAAAAGACAAGAAACACCTTTCTGTGGGGACTTTACATCAAAAAGATTGCCAAAAAAATCATGAACTATGTGTTTTTTCTGTGGCGTCATGGTGGATCAGTCGTCACCATGGTTGTTTCAATCCTAAGTCATCCTATGACTTTGCTGATTTGGGTCATGACTCATTTGGGATATACCATGATATCCATGACATCCCACTGGATACCCGGCCTGGTAAACGTTAACAAAAGACTATGGAAAGATCCACCATGAATTTCATGGGAAAATCCACGAACTAAATCATCATGTTCAAGTTCGCTTTTTGTAAATGTTTACCACTGGATATCCCCGAGGTCTTGACCACGATCCCAGTGGCTGGGGCGCTTCTCTTCTACCAGGGTAGACGCTTCGCTTATGGACCCAAGGCCGGCACCTCACCAAAACGCTGGAGTCGTTGTGCTTGTTTTTTTGGAAAGATGAAATTCGCAGCGGTTGATTGGTTACATTTATATACAGATTTCAACACAGTTGTTTCGCATGTTTTGGTGGATTCATTGTTGGTGGTTTTTGAGATGTTTCAATCCACATAGTCAACATAGTCAACATGTGTGAAAACTAGAAAATTATGTCGTGGGAAAACATTGACAGGGATTTTCCGGATCTTTACACTAGCATCGTATTGTGATATTTAAGTCACAATGGATCAAAAATTACATCAAGATAAAGCGTATCTTTCTTGGGCTCCCTTTTTTCGTTGACAAAAAACAAAAAGTCCCCAGCTGCTGGCGCCAGGTGATGTTGATCTACGGCCTGACCTGCTGCATGTGCCCATAGGATCATATAGGATCATGGTTCTGGGATGGTTCCCATGAAGCTTTGGTAATCTTTTCCAGATTCAATGCCCCGATCAGTCGTTTAGTAAGTTTAGTGTTGGATTTAAGTTCATTTTGGAGTGTTTCATATATGTATTTAACCCAAAATATTGGCTATTTTTCATAGTTTAGTAAGTTTATATATTTCATATTGGATATTTTTTGGATGCTTTAACCCAAAATGACACGTTTCACCCGTTTCACCAGTTTCACCATGCGGCTTGGGGATCCAACTTCGAGGTACACCTTGGCTTGCTTCGCTCACTTGACCCTGCAGAGACATGTCTTCTCCACGACGGTCGGAAACGGCTGGGGGCAGCTGGGGGCTGGGGGCTGGACCCGGGGACACCTCTGGGCTCAGGTCACCGCAGTGATGAGCAATGTCTGGAAGCTCATGGAAGCTCAGTGGTGAGTCCGTTCGATCCATATGCTTGCGTGGTAAACCCCTAAAGTGGTTGAATCATCTGGTGAAACTCCATTGTCCTGCTACTTAAGCCCAAGTCTTGCTCACTAAACCCCATTTTTTGATGGCTAAATCCCAATGTTAGGTCAACCTTAAAAAGTTGACGTGTCACCCCCATTCTTTGCTGTAGTGAAATCCGAAAAATCGTGTTACCTAAATCCAGATTTCTTCTAAACATGTGCTGGTTAAACCGGCTTTTTGTTGCGAAAAACCGAGATTTCACATCCAATTTAGGCCCTCTTGACCTTCGTGATGTTCAGCCATGTGGTGCACCGGGCCCTTCAAAGTGTCCTGCTGCGTCACTGGGACCGCATGGGTTTCACCATGGTTTCACCATGGTGTTTCACCTGCGAAGTTTGGGAATGTAAAATGGTCATGTCATAAACTGATTTTTATTGATGTAAACCAGTGGTATAAACCATAAATCAATGTAAAGTGGTATAAACCACCTATATCAAATGATGGTTTATACCACTGGTAAAATTGGGGTGGATCTATTGACCGATGCTTCCGACTCCAGGTCTTCTCATCGTGGCTGTCTCCGAAGTGCTCCTGGTCCTCCGGTGAAAAATGGATTGGGATGGTGGGAGCTCCACAAAATGCTGGAATACTGCAAGACATTGCAATTTCAATAGCAAAATCGGGCTTTTAGATGTAGAAAATCACCTCCAAGTGGTCGGTTCCTTTGTGTTCTTGTGATGTTTCTGGTACCAAATCCATTCTCCAACCTATCTCCAACCTCACGTCATCGTCCATGGATTCCATGGCCAAAACTGGCCCGACTCCTATTGGTTTTTCGCAGATTGGCACTGTGGCACAGTTGCCCTACGCCATCAACCATGGTGGAGCCCCTTGGGAGCACCGATTTTGACGACCCGACCCAAACAAAATGGCAGGGGTTCTACAGCTTTCTACATGGCCAAATGGGAGATCAAGCGATTTTTGCCATGTAATGATTATTATGAATTATAACATATTATAACATATTATGAATTATAACCCAAAAATGAGGGTTAATCTATGTTAATCTCCCATGAAGTGATCAAGTCATTGAGTTTCCATTGGGGAAAAATTGGGATGCGGATTTTCCTCTTACAAAGATGACTTGACCACGAAAAATGCGTGACCTAATCATGAACTATTGATCGTATAATGGGGAGATGTTGCGGAATATCATGGACAAGATTCTGACCCATGGCGACATCACTGGAACGGTGGATTGTTTGGGATTGATGTTACAATCTCAGAGCCGAAGGATTCAGGTGAGTGATTTGTTATGATTTATCCAGTGATATCCAGATATATTTGAGGAATATTTCTGGTAAAACCCTCTATATATCTATCAGAATCTATACATATTTGTTAGAGGGATTCTGGTTATCCAGATCTATAGAGGGTTTTACCAGAAACAGATATGGAAATGTAATGGATCAGTGACGGTTGATATCTGATGGGGAGATGGTTCACCTCCCTGTTGTGAACGGGCGATGGACTGACTCACAGCGGGAATCCCGTTCTCAACCAGGATAAAAGGATGACGAAAGGCATTGAATGCTGCTCATGTTGATGGGTAAACCTGATTGGGTTTATGATTCTGGCTGGATGGAATGGTATTCTATTTATTACATGTTATTACCCCCTATATGTAGGTGTCATTATTCTGTTTACTATCATTCTCCCCTTTAAAGTATTGCTGCTGGAATCATTTGTTGATGATTAGTTCATGAACGGTTTACAAAAAACTGCTAGTATTGGATAAAAATTCTTGGGTCAGCCCTTGGAATTTGGTATAACCATAACCATGTATTAATTCCATGCCCCAAGAAAGCCAAGAAACCTCCGATTTTTTCGAGGTTTGGACGCTGTTCATTGTGCAAGCTCCCGGGGTCAGCTGCTCAGTGCTGCTCAGTGCTCACTGGGATCACTAGGATCATCCGTTGAGTTATAAAACCAGGTGAGACAACCAGGTAACAACATAATTTAAGGGCTGCCGCCCCTGCCGCCGACCCCGGAAAAGAGAAACTCGCAATGGTGTCAGCTGGCTTCATTCGAGTGTTCTGTGAGTTGTCAGCCTGGATGCTTTATATATACATTATATATATATATGCATCAAATAGTATATACTTGTGTGTTGAACTGAAATTTTGCTAGTCCATATCCCTGCCATGAAGCTCAAGCATCCATCCTTTTGCTTTCCGTTTTTTGGGGGTGGTGTGTCCTCCTCCCCGTGCGCGAGACATAGTCTTCGCACGGGAAAGGCACATCAGTGAATCATAAAGAGTTGTTTGAAAGCAAAAGAATGGATGCTTGAGCTTCATAACTGGTATATAACATATTAATTGTGAAAAACATGGGCTAGAAAATGCTAAGATCATCCGGAAACCATCGATTTTCCCATTCAATATATGGGGTGTTCACCAGTAAATTTTCCCCAACAAACCAATCCATTGAAGGGAAGGTTCATGGACACATTGGGATTATCAATGATAAATGGGATATGTATTGGGAATTTTCAATGATGATGTTGGGTATAATTGGATGATATTGGGATTATCACACTCTTGGGATATGTATTGGATGATCAAATTATATGGATTTTTCAATGATAATTGGATAATTGGATGATATTTATGATTTTTACCATGGTATTCATTGGGGTTCATGACAAGTTAGGATTGATAACCCCCCAGGAAGGTAGGTACAGGATATGTTTTGTTTGTTTTAGATGTTTTCTGATGTTTATAATATTGGCAAAGTATTCTGATGACAAAATATGATGTTTCCATTGGGATTATCATACCCTTCTAAATATTCACTGGTATATATATATACATAGTGTATATATATATACAGTGTATATATATAATATACAACTTATATAACTATCTCAACATAGCACGGCGCGATTTGTTCGAGGAGTGCCTTGGATGGACGCCAGGAAAGGAATTTCAAGTTGTCGCATTTCAAGCTGTTAATGCCGAGCCTTTGGACGGCGAAACTATGCATCAAGCATTGGGGTTGGCTTGGCACGGCAACGATCACAACGTCGACGCGCAGCGGATTCTGGATCTTGCACAACACGCCGTGCAGTGGCGCTGGCTGCTGATCGACGAAATCAGCATGGTGAGTGCCGAGATGTTAGCACGTCTCGAGGCCCGATGTCGCCAACTTGTTTTAGATGTCTCCGCAACAAAATATGGTAAGCAGAATCTCAACTGCGTTGCACCCTTTGGTGGGCTCAACGTCATTCTGTCTGGAGACTTGTGGCAGTTACCTCCGCCGCGTGGAACGTTTCTCGGCCAAATCCCATGGCAGCTTGTAACAGGCGTTTCATCTAAGAAGCTACCATTAAGTTTGCAAGGCCAACAGCTCGTATGGGCTTCCAGCGCACAGGGTGGCGTACAAGGAGTTACCGAATTGGTGCGCTGCGAACGAACCCAAGACGTGTGGCTCCAAGATCTGCAAGCAGAACTTCGCGTGGGGCACTTGTCCGAAGACAACCATGCATTCTTGCATGGTCGACCAACAAAGGTTCCAGGAAGTTGGTGCGCTAGGACTCAACGGCCTATGTGTCAAGAAAACATATGTTATCAGTTGTACAAAAACGCCTCCACAGCGACAGCGATTCTCAAGTACGAATGTCCAATCTGTCACGCTGAACGGGATACCAAGCGTCTAGTTGCCGTGGACGCAGACGATCCTCGCTTCGTAGACGGTTTCAGCATGGCGCGGGGGATTTTCCACACGAACGGGGTGAAGTGCCACGTGAATAAACTTCGCGCGGAACAATGGGCGCGGCAGCATGGGCAAATCATTTATTATGCAGTGGCTACGGATAAGGTATCATCGCGAGCTTTGCACGAGAAGCCCGACATCGCCCAAGACAAGCTCACATGGCTGCAACGCAGTGATGCTGATTGCGGGAATCGGTATGGCGTCCTTCCGCTGTGCATAGGTATGCCTGTACAAGCGCGGGAACACCTACACCGGAAGGATTTCAAGATCTTGAAAGGGTGTCATGGAACCATTTGCGGGTGGTCAAGCATTGCGACAGAAACAGCGGCGGCAGATGGAGCAGTAATATGGAACAAACTCCCCGATTATATCTTCGTGCGTTTTGAGACGCGAACACGTTGGACAATTCCAGGCATCGATCAAGAGAACGTCTTCCCGGTCAGCATACAAAGTGCACAGTGGTTTCTAGACGCGGGCCGCACCAACCCACAATTGAAAGTCACCCGGTACCAATTTCCCATCGCGCCCGACTTCGCTGACACGTTTTACGGTGCACAAGGAAGCACAATAGAACCCGGCGTGATCGTTGACATGGTCGGTGCTGACCGAATAGCGGCGTACATTGGGATGGCACGCTGCCGCACACGGCAGAAGATCTTGATCTACCGTCCGTTCCCGCTGGCACCTTTTCAAGCAGGTCTGCCGCTCGGACGGCAACTTCTGCTTGATGTGTGGAAACAAGAGCCGGTGGACTGGGATGCATTGCGCAAGAAGTACTTGGATGAGAGGCAATGTCATGAGTGTGGGGAGATGAAACGTAAAGATGCATTCACCAAAGCACAGTGGAAACAAGACACCTATCGGGTCTGCAAAGAATGCACAGCGCAGAAGCGCGAGGCCGGCACACCATATCGATGCACACAGTGCGGTCTGTGGCACGCGGCTGCCCACTTTGCAAGCAAGCACCAAAACCCCCGCTGGAGCATGTATCGCGTGTGTCTGTCGTGCGATACCAAAAAAGCATGTTTTGTTTGCCAAAGCAAACAAACGAAAGAACACTTCGGCGCCTCAGCGTGGATGGCACGGGAGCCCAAGCGAAGAGTGTGTGTCCAGTGCCAAACGAAAACGCGTGGTTCTTGGAAGTGCGCAGCATGTCAGCAACGCAAACCGCAGCAGCAATTTTCTGATTTCATGAGAAAGCGGTCTTCTGGCAAAAACGGTGCACAAACATGCAATGCATGTCGCACCGTTCTTGCGCAAGCTGTTCTCCGCAAGCGGGCTGCTGCATCGAACATAAGCCGACTGGAACCTCTTCGCAAAAAATTGCGTCGGACCCACGTGCTACGCGAGACATGGGAAGCGATTGCAGAACACAGACAACAACGCACGAGCCAGACTATGACGAGCGAAAAAGAAGGTACACATGAGATTGCAATCCCAAACGAAAGAGAACAAAGTCCACCACCAGAAAAGAATTATGTGTACGTATGCCCTTTCTGCGAAAAATCTATTACTACTTCAATTGCTTCCGGACATGTCGACCACCGACGCGTGTGCGGGAAACAATTTCGCGTGCAGGATGGAGTTCTTCGGCCGACAGCCCACTTTTCGCATACATGCCCTACTTGTGGAACCTGCGTCCAAAGCACCCAAGAATTTGGGCGAATCAAAAGCAAACACAAACAATCCAATGGTCGCGCGTGCCGCCGAACGGAATGGCATGCAAAGTAACAACAAAGAAGCTCGCAGCATGAAAACTTGCAACAAGAAAACAGGCTCGCAAATAATCACCTGCCGAAGAACCACAACATGCCCTGGAAATCACTTCCCGTGGAGAAAACACCAGGGCTCTGAATGGCTACTAGCTGCTAGCTGCTACTGGCGCTGGCTGCTGGCTACTAACTATGTGCACCTTTTGCGTGCTCTTGCCTAACGTGTCGTCTGACACCCTAGAAAAACACAATTTTTCGATAGATTCTGTTGCTGGCGGCTGCTAGCAGTAAAACAAGTTCGAAAAAATCACCTCCCGGGGGGGAAAACACCAGGGCTCTGAAGGACGAGCGAGTGCCAAAACAACGCCAAAAAAATCCCTAACGTATCGTCTGAAATCCTAGTAAAAATCTATCTAGATTTTTTGGTACGCTGCTGGCTACTGGCCGCTGGCTGCTACTGGCGCTGGCTGTTAGCTACTGGCTATATGCACCTTTTGCGTGCTCTTAGAAAAACACAATTTTTCGATAGATTCTGTTGCTGGCGGCTGCTAGCAGTAAAACAGGTTCGAAAAAATCACCTCCCGGGGGGGAAAACACCAGGGCTCTGAAGGACGAGCGAGTGCCAGAACCACGCCAAAAAAGTCCCTAACGTGTCGTCTGAAATCCTAGAAAAATCTAGATTTTTTGGTACGCTGCTGGCTACTGGCCGCTAGGCTGCTACTGGCGCTGGCTGCTATAGCTACTGGCTATGTGCACCTTTTGCGTGCTCTTGCCTAACGTGTCGTCTGACACCCTAGAAAAACACAATTTTTCGATAAATTCTGTTGCTGGCGGCTGCTAGCAGTAAAACAGGTTCGAAAAAATCACCTCCCGGGGGGGAAAACACCAGGGCTCTGAAGGACGAGCGAGTGCCAGAACCACGCCAAAAAAGTCCCTAACGTATCGTCTGAAATCCTAGAAAAATCTATCTAGATTTTTTGGTACGCTGCTGGCTACTGGCCGCTGGCTGCTACTGGCGCTGGCTGTTAGCTACTGGCTATATGCACCTTTTGCGTGCTCTTGCCTAACGTGTCGTCTGACACCCTAGAAAAACACAATTTTTCGATAGATTCTGTTGCTGGCGGCTGCTAGCAGTAAAACACATTCGAAAAAATTACCTCCCGGGGGGGAAAACACCAGGGCTCTGAAGGACGAGCGAGTCCCAGAACCACGCCAAAAAAGTCGCTAACGTGTCGTCTGAAATTCTAGAAAAATCTAGATTTTTTGGTACGCTGCTGGCTACTGGCCGCTGGCTGCTACTGGCGCTGGCTGCTATAGCTACTGGCTATGTGCACCTTTTGCTAGCTACTGGCTATGTGCACCTTTTGCGTGCTCTTGCCTAACGTGTCGTCTGACACCCTAGAAAAACACAATTTTTCGATAAATTCTGTTGCTAGCGG